AGTCCCCATAGAATTTCCTTCCCCAAGGCACCGTGCACCATCACCACCACCATCACCACTCCTCCCTCTCTCCCTCTGATCCCTCTCCCTCCTCCTCCCCTGCAGTAGGTCTCTGATTTGTAGTTGTCTGTCTGAGAAATTTCCTTTGAAATATCTTACAGTACAAGTCTACTGACAAGCTGTTCTCTCAACTTTCATTTGTGTGTGAACTTTTTTTTTTATATTTTTAATTTTAAAATTGGGTTATTATTTATTTTTATTATAGGATTCTAATAGCCTCCCGCTGCCCTAGCTTTGTTACTGTTTTTCTTCGAGCATTGTGAAAATGTTCTCATTGTCTTCTGACTTGCAGAGTTGCCGGTGAGTCTGAACAGACTTGTCTCTCCTGTTTTAGGTATTCAGACTTTCCTTTCTGCTTAGTGGAATAGAGATACTCCTGAAGTCTAGATGAATTCTGGAAACTGTTTAGCTTCCTGCTCCTTGTTAACTATTTTCTGTCAGACTTTGTTTTTGCCCATCCTTGTAGTATCTCACCAAATACATGTGCAGACTGGTATTAAGCTAAAGATTCAGAGGACTTGGAACTTTTTCTCAATTGAGTCCTTTTTTCTTGCTACTCTAAACCACAGCTTCTGTCATTTCAGAAGCATGGTCACTTCAAACTAACTGCCAGGATTTCATTGAGTTGCCAATTACACAGATGTCCAGAATTGCTTTCATGCACAACAAGGTGATTGCTAGCTTCACCTTGCTTGTTTTCCCATTGACAGGTGTCACAAAATTATTTTCATCAAGAAAGTTGGTATGGGGCCTCCCTGGTGGCACAGCGGGTTGAGCACAGCGCTGTGAAGCTGTCCGCAGCGTCTGCAGCGTGGGTTCGATTCCTGGCTGGCCAGGGAGATTCCCACATGGTGTAGCAGACCTCTCCCGTCTTACTCGTTGCTCCCCTCTGCAGTGTATTTTGGTCTGTCTGCCTGTTCTGCTCCCCACTCTGTCTCTGGTGAATTCTCTCACCCTCCCGCGCCTTTGGCCTATACCCCAGCTATTGTATAAATAAAAAAATAAATCTTTTAAAAGAAAAAAAGTTGGTGTGAACTACCCAGTCCACCAACTGGGAGTATACCCTATTTTCTGAAGAAATTTTTTGGCCAACATGTATATATGTTACTTTTAGGAATACAGATGAAATCAAATAGTTATTTAAATTTAGAATTACATATTTAAATCACTTATTTAAAAGTATATTAGGAAATAGTGCCTTTTTACTTAAAAGTGTATACACACTTGATAGGCATTGCTATGCCCAGAGTGGGGTTTTTAACCCAAAGCATATCATTTTCACTTTTATTCAAGTTGTAGGAGATAATAGTGCTTTTTTAAGCCTATGTATTGTATCGATACTGGAAAATTTGTCCAAAGCCACAAATTTCCAAATACATTATATTTTACTTTCTATAGATAGAAAATTATGATCTCCACAACCTAGTAGAATTGTTTTTTAAGATAATGTTTAAAACTGCTTTTGGTTGGTTATATGACCAGTAATCCTTTTTTACTTTGTGTTCAGTTTCTCCCTCTCTTATTTATTTTGAAAAACAACTTTTATTTCTATGTACATACAGTATTTCTTTGGCTGAGAATTGTAAATAATTTAGAGATAGAGATCATAAAAAATAGATCATAGAGATCATAAAAAATAGAGATCATAAAAAATTGCCTATCATCTCTTGATCAAGCTTAGAATAAATAGCCTCTTTGGCCCAAATTTTCTTATAGTAGGTAAAATTAATTATCCTGAAGATATTTACCAACCTGCCCCAGCATTAGTTTTATCTACTATTCTAGTTACCCCAGTTAAACATTTCACATTTCAAATGTAGAACATTTTGAGTGGGAAATGAAAGTTAAGTTAAAAAAATAGACTTTATTACTAAGCATCCTATAGAAATATGTTCCGTATGTTAAAAGAAAGAATAAAAGCCTGTGTTACATTTGGTAGGTATCTCGTTACTATTCATAAAATAAGTCAGTAAAAACTGAACTTTGTTTACAGAAAATGAGGCAGCCTGATTCATTGTTTTCAGGTAGTGAATCTTTTATAGGTAGCATTATTTACTCATTTCCTTGGACTATGATATTTGCAATTTTCTTTAGTAATATAAGGTTTCTTTACAATCTATAAAATTATCAATAGTTAGGTCATTATTAAGTATCTATAGAAGAAATATATGGGGAATTTGTATGGTGTGATACACATGAATTTGTAGTGAAAATGACCTCAGGAATTTCACCTATGAGATTGTATTTGTTTATATTTTTAAATGAAGTCCTACATATTTCAGCTGTCTCTCAGTTACTTAAGCACTCTACTGTTTTTAACTTGAGTTATTTGAATCATGTGATTTGCCTCAGCTACAGGGGTAGGCCTTTTTGACTTTAACTCATCATATTAATAAAGTTTACTTTGCAGGTCATTTTGATTGTATGTAGAACGAGATATACACTGGGAATTTCCAAGAATGATTCCCTTTTGTGAAGGTTACTAGAAGAGCAGCTGGGAGAATCTTTGAGAAATACTATACGGATGTGCCAAGTAGAGTTACAGTCATTTATCTGAGTAGCAGGCAACATCTAGATGAAGCCCACACAGGGAGGAGGGCATAGCTGACAGCTGTAGAGGAGTCTCAGTAATGCTGTGAACCTCTAGTTCAAACAGTGTGAAGTTAGCGAATCATATGGAATATTTTGTCCTGTAATCTGATAAATTCATCTAAACCTGTTTTGAGTTGGGGTTTTTGTTATTTATAATAAAAAACGTAGCCAATAATTAGAGTACCACTTTGTAGTCAATTTTGAAAGTACTGATTTAAGATTTCACTATTTCTAATTTGTAATTCTAATCACATAAGAATAACATCTTTAATTTATTCAGCAGATATTTGAATCATTCAGGATATATAAATCCTATTTTTAGATAAGAATGGGTTGATATGTTTTTACGCTTTTAGTTCTCTAAAAATTTACAGCATTTTTTTTTTTTGTAAATGTTTCTTTCTTTTTTTTAAGATCTATTTATTTTTATGCATATAAGAGCTGGTACAGGCCAGAAACAATAAAGGTTGGCCAGGATGTGGAGAAAAATGAACCTTTATGCATTGTGAGAGGGTAGAGGTGCAGCAGGGTGAGAGGATTCATCAGAGACAGAGTCGGGAGCAGAACAGGCAGACAGACCGAAAACACTGCTGAGGGGAAAAGTGGGCGCCACGGGAGAGGTCTGCCACGCCATGTGGGTATCTTCCTGGCTGGCCAGGAATCGAACCTGTGCTGCAGAGGCTGTGGACAGCTTCACAGCACTGCGCTCAAACTGCTGCGCCACAGGGGAGGCCCCAGAAATACTTTTTAAAGAGTTGGAAAGATGGTAATATAAAAAGAATGATAGCTGTGGTAGGAAAAATAGTAAGTAAAATCATTGACCACTTTAAGTATATTTAATTTTCTTCATTTAAATTAATTTCTTCTGTACCTGCCAAAGAACTTGCAGATTGCCTCATGAGATCATTGACTAATCTTTGAGAATTACATGAAAAAAATATTTGTTTATTGGAGATAATCAAACTGGCTTGATTTTTGTCCTAAGGGAAAAATGGGCTTCTGGAAATTATAAGTCAGTAAGTTTATTACTGATCTTTGCAATATTTCTAGAAGCAACTATCAGCAAATTTCAGAAGCTTGTGAAGTTATGAAAAAAATGCTCAAATTTAGAAATTTGTATCTACTAAGAAGATAAATAAAACTTCAAATGAAGTTACTCATTTCTATCTAGCAGAGTTAGTGGTTTCGAGTAAGTGGAAAAATACTGTAACAGTTTCTAATTTTAGTGAAGTACTTGACCTTTTTTTCCCCATTTGAATAAGATATGTTAGTGAATTAAATTGAGAGTAAGACGATAGATTCATAGTAGTTAGAGTCAAAGTAGACTGAAATCTGAGACCATTTTTTTAAAAAAAGATTTAATTTATGCATACAAGAACTGGGGTACAGGCCAGTGGCACTACGGGAGGGTGAGAGGATTCACCAGAAACAGAGTGGCGAGCAGAACAGGCAGACTGACTGAAACACACTGTTGAGGGGAGCAGCGGCAAGGCAGGAGTGGTCTACCGCGCCATGTGGGTATCTCCCTGGCTGGCCGGGAATCAAACTCGTGCTGCAGAGGCTGCAGACAGCTTCACAGTGCTGCACTTAACCCGCTGCACCACGAGGGAGGCCCAAGGCCAATTTTTGATCAAAATTTTGATGTCAGCTTTGAGAGAGCTCTTCTGAGAACTGCAAGGGATAACCTGTTACTTTGTGTCAACATATTCATCAGTGATCTGGCTGAAGATTTATAAAGTATGCTTACCTGTAGATTATTCAAAACTGGATTTGCCTGGGCCTCCCTGGTTGCTCAGTGGGTCGAGTGCAGCAGTGGGTGTCTGCAGCCTCTGCAGCACGAGTTTGATCCCCTGGCTGGTGCAGCAGACCTCTCCTGCCTCATGGCGCAGCAGACCTCTCCTGCCTCGCCCGCTGCCCCCCTCAGCAGTGTGCTTTGGTCAGTCTGCCTGTTCTGCTCCCCACTCTGTCGCTAATGAATCCTCTCACCCTTCCATACCTCTGGCCTGTACCCCAGCTCTTGTATAAATAAAATAAATCTTTAAAAAAAAAACTGAATTTGCCTAGCTGATACCATTAAAAGCATCAAGAACATTGCCCTAAAACTTTGCTTAATTTATTTATTGCATTTCTGTCTGCCTCTCAACATACTTTGATAATATAAATTCATATTTTAGGCTGCTTCAGGGGGAAATAAGTGACTTTCTCTTTGTCTCCCTGATATTCTTACCAAATTAATATGTGAATTGAATGTGTCCCTTATTATAGTATATCCTCAGTGATACAGATCTAATAATACAAACAGAAAATTGAGAACTATCAGCGTAAAGTATTTTTTTTACCTATTCTAGGAATATGAAGCACGAACAGGGAGGACCTGTAAACCACCACCTCAGTCTTCAAGACGTAAGAATTTTGAATTTGAGCCCCTTTCTACCACTGCCCTGATTCTTGAGGATCGGCCATCGTAAGTATTCTAGTGATCGTCAGGCACAATGTTTATATTTTTAATTTAAGTTTAATTATGCTACATAATTTAATTATGTTTATTATGTCACATAAAAGATTGAGAAATTAGATAAAGAAATTGGTTTATTATAAAAAGTTAAATTCCTGTCATGTATCCTAAAACTGTTATGGAAGAATATATTATTGATACCCAAGCATCATGCATATTTTCTAGAAGTCTCTGAAACAATGTATGAAATAGTGAAGCTTGGTTTTTATATCAGTTACTATTTCAACCCTACTCTGCTTTATTTTAACATGATATGGCAATTATTTTTCTTTTCTTGACATTTAATACATACTTTATATTTGTCCTTGCCTGTTGTGCTGGGTAACTGCCAATTGTTTACCAGTTAGTTTACTATTATTTATTTTTTTTTTTAAAATAATTTATTTATTTATTTATTCATACAAGCACTGGGTACAGTCAGAAGCGCAGGAGGGTGAGAGAATTCACCAGAGCCAGAGCAGGGAGCAGAACAGGCAGAAGGACCGAAGTACACTGCTGAGGGGAGCAGTGGGCGCGGAAGGAGAGGTCTGCTGTGCCATGTGGGACCCTCACCCGGCGGCTGGGATCGAACAGGTGCTGCAGAGGCTGCAGGCAGCTTCGCAACCCAGCGCTCAACCACTGCGCCACTGGGGAGGCCCAGTTCACTATTATTAAGAATAGATTCTGTTTTTAAAAATTGTATCTTTTTTAATGAGGTAATATTAGTTTGTACCGTATGTGATTTAGAGGTGTAGTTTCACACTTCTTCAGGTATCTATCACACATCACCTACCACCAAAGCACCCATAATCCTCCACCATAGTCCATTGGGTCTCTTTTCTCTTTTATCCCCCACCTTTCCCCTCCCCTTTAGGTAGCCTCAATTCTGCAGTCAGATTTGTAGAATCTGTTTTGGTTTAGTTTTGTCTTACTTTATTTTGTTTATATTCTAAATGAGTGAATCATGGATAACTTGTCTTTCTTCTGACTTATTTTATTTCCATGTTTCATCCATGGGTTCACAAATAGCAACAAGATTTCATCTTTTTTAAATAGCCAAGTAGTATTCTGTTGTGTAAATATAACATATCTTCTTAATATACTCATTTGTTATTGGGCATTTAGGTTGTTTTCATAACTAAGTTATTGTAAATAGTGCTGCAGTGAACGTAGGAATGTATATATTCCTTCAAATCAGTGTTTTTGCATTTTTTGCCTAGATACTTAGGAATGGAGCCACTATATCATATGGTAGATTCACTTTTAATATTTTGAGAAACATCCACACTTTTCCATATATGCTGGATTAGTCTACACTCTCACAATGCATAAGGGTTCATTTTTCTCCACATCCTGGCTAACCTTTATTGTTTCTGGTATTTTTTTTTTTTTTAATGGGCTATTCTCTTGACTGTGAGGTGTTATTTAATCGTGTGTGTGTTATTTTTTAATTTAATTGAAATTTTTTTAAGATTTATTTATTTATACAAGAACTGGAGTACAGGCTCAGATGCATGGAAGGGTGAGAGGACTCACCAGAGACAGAGCAGGGAACAGAACAGGCAGACTGACGAAATACACTGCTGAGGGGAGCAGCAGGTGAGACAGGAGAGGTCTGTCTGTTGCGCTATGTGGGACCCTTGCCGGCCAGCCGGGATCAAACCGGCGCTACAGAGGTTGTGGACAGCTTCACAGTGTGGCACTCAACTGCCTGAGCCACCAGGGGAGGCCCTGTGTGTGTGTCTTAAAAGATTTATTTATGCATACAAGAGCTGGGGTGTAGGCCAAAGGTGTGGAGGGGGGTGGTGAGAGGATTCACCAGAGAGGGTGGGGAGCAAAACAGGCAGATATGCTGAAATTAACTCTGAAAGGAGCAGCAGGCAAGAACAGGAGAGGTCGCCGCACCATGTGGGTCACCTCCCTGGCCTGGCTGGTAATCGAACTAGTGCTGCAGTGGCTGGTGATAACTTGATAGTGCTGTCTTTAACCCCAGAGCGACCAGGGAGGCCCCTTCAATGTGTTTTTGATTTCCATTTCCCTGATGATAAGTAGTAATGGGCATTGTTTTCAGGTGTCTATTGGCCATCTATTTGTCACTTTATTGGGTGTCTTTTTAGCATTTCTGCCCATTATTTGATTAGGTAGTTTGTTTTTTCTCTTTTGTTGAATTGTATAAGTTCTTTGTAGATCTTGGATATTAGCTTCTTGCTGGATTTATGATGCACAGATATATTTTCCCATTCAATAAATTGTCTTTTTGTTTAAATGACAGTTTCTGGGCCTCCTTAGTAACCCAGAAATCTCAGTACTTTCAAGCTATTGCCAGCCACTGCAGCATGAGTTAGATCCCCAGCCAACGAGCTAACCCAAATGACGCAGTAGACCTCTCCTGTCTCACCTGCTGCTGCTCCCCTCAACAGTGTATTTCAGTAGATCTACCTGTTCTGCTCCCCACTCTGTCTCTGGTGAATCCTCTCACCGCCCACACCTCTGGCCTACACCCCAGTACTTATATGCATAAATAAATAAAACAAATTTTAAAAATTGATAATTTCTTTCTCTGTGCAGAATTTAATATAGTCCCATTTATTTATTTTTATTTTTGTTTTCCTTGCCTTTGGAGTTGAGTTCATGAATATATCTCCAAAGCCAGTGTTGTCTTCTTTGTATTTGATGGTTTCAGGTCTTAACATCCAAGTCTTTAACCCCTTTTGAGTTAATCTTTTAGTGTGATATGATATTGGTCTAGTTTCATTGTTCTGCTTGTTGCTGTCCAGTTTTCTCAGCACCCCCCTTTTAAAAAAATATTTGTTTTCTTACATTGTTGTTAATTTTTGGGCAGTATTTGCTTGCTCCACTCAGGCATAGTCCCTGTAGCTCTCCCCAAACCATAACACCCGTGATCCATTGCCACAGTCCCTTGTCAACATCACTTATTGAAGAGAAGTTTCCTCTCTGCATTGTATACATGACTTCTTGTAGATTAGCTGTCCATATAGATGTGGGTTTATTTCTTGGTCTCAATTTGATTTCATTGGTCTATGTGTCTGTTTTTATTACAATGCTATATAGTTTTGATTACTATCACTTTGTAGTATAGTTTGAAGGCTGGTTGTGTAATAACTTCTGTTCTTTTTCTTATCAGAACTGCTTTGATAATTCAGGGTCTTCTGTGGTTCCATACAAATTTCAGTGATGTTTGCTGTATTTGAAGAATGTCTTTGAATCTTTTTTACTATTATTATTTATTTATAAGAACCAGGGTAGAGGCCAGATGTGCAGGAGGGTGAGAGAATTCACCAGAGACAGAGTGGGGAATAGAACAGGCAGTGACTAAAATACACTGCTGAGGGGAGCAGTGGATGAGACAGGAGAGATCTGCTGTGCCATGTGGGTTGCTCCATGGTCGGCGGGGATTGAACCAGCACTGCAGAGTCTGTGGACATCTTCACAATGCTGCGCTCAACCTCCGGCGCCACCAGGGAGGCCCCTATCTTTGAATTTTGATAGGGACTGCATTGGCTTTTATATAACTTTGGGCAAGATGGCCATTTTAACAATATTAATTCTTCCAATCCATTAGCAAGGAATATCTTTCCATTTCTGTGTGTCTTCTGTTTCTTTTAATATCTTACAGTATTTGTTGTAGAGGTCTTTTACTTCCTTTGTTCGGTTTATTCCTGGATAGTTAATTCATTTTGATGCATTATGAGATCATTTTCTTGATTTCTTCCTCCTTTAGTTTGTTGTTTGCATATAGGAATGCAACAAGTATTTGTGCATTGATTTTGTAGCCTGCCACTTTACTATACTGATTTATTGTTTCTAATAATATTTTAGTGGAATCTTCAGAATTTTTTGTGTATATTATGTTATCTGTAAATAGTGATAGTTTTACTTCTGTTTTTCTTTCTTTTTTTTTTTTTTTTTTAAAGATTTCTTTATACATACAGGAACTGGGGAACAGGCCAGAGTTGTGGGGGGTGAGAGGAGTTATCAGAGACAGAGTGGGGAACAGAACAGGCAGATCGACTGAAACACACTGCTGAGGGGAGCAGCAGGCGAGTCAGGAGAGGTCTGCTGCACCATGTGGGTAGCTCCCTGGCCGGGAATTGAACTTGTGTTGCAGTGGCAATTTGGAATCCTTTTATATCTTTCTCTTGCCTAGTTGTTCAAACCAGAACTTCCAATATTCTATTGAACGGTAGTAGTGAAAGTAGATATCCTTCCCTATATCTGATCTTAGAGCAAAAGCTTTCAGTTGTCTCCTTTGAGTATAATGTTAGCTGTGTTCCTTCTATCCCATTTTCTTTCAAGTTTTTGTCATAAATGGATGTTAAAACTTATCAAATATCTTCTCTGCATCTATTGATAGGATCCATATCATTTTTAGTTTTCCTTTTGTTGGTGTAAATTACATTGGTCAATTTTTGTATGTTGAACTATCCTTGCGTCTCTGCTTTTGCTGTGTCCATAGGTGTAGGTTGTTTGTGTCTTCATTTCATCTGCTATTTTTTAATTTGTCCTTTGATTTCCTCATGAATTGAATAGTCCTTCCGTAGCACATTATTTAGTCTCTACATATCTGAGGATTTTTCTTCACGTTCTTTTCGTGATTGATTTCTAGTTTGATACCACTGTAATCAGAGAAGGTATTTGATATAATTTGAATCATTCTGAATTTATTGGCACTTGTTTTGTGACCCCATTTGGTGTATCCTTGCGAATGTTCCATGTGCATTTCAGAAGAATGCTCCAACATTTTTGGAGATGCAGTGCCTTTTATCAAGACCATCTAATCTAATTCCTCATTTAAAACTGTTGTTTCTAAGTTGAATTTCTGTCTGGTTGATCTGTCCATTGACGTAAGCTCAGTGAAGCCCCTTACTATTTTTATGTTGTTGCCTATGTATGTTTTTATTTTTTTAATTTAATTTTTTTAAAGATTTATTTTTATTTATGTGTACAAG